CAAACTTATTTTATCACCCAATAATACATTCTACAGTAGATATCGCTTGTGTGATATATATCATAATCTAATGTGATATCTCCTGTTGAAAATGTGATTGGTCAGTTGAAAAGGAACTACTTTTTTATTTTCAAAGAACAGTTCATTTCTTATTAAAAGTAACTTTTTTTTTTATATTAAGAATGAACTATTGTTATTCAATTGACCTTGATGGAAACACTGGGTCAATATAAAGGACTTTGCAATGGTTGAATTGCTGTCAAAAAATGATGTATCACTACGCCGTAATGTAATCAGGTTCAGTAAAAGTGAAATCTACAGCAAAAAATTATATTTATCTATTTGTGCATGTAAGAAGGAATTGGGTGATAAATAAAATCTGCTACTCGTCTTTTTTGATATCAAAAAATATCAACACTCTTTGATAAAGTAAAAAAAAATCGGCAGGGCCTCGTTTTTTGTTACTTTATCAACTTGTGTTGATATTTTTTGACATAAAAAAGACTGGTAGGAGATTCTCTATATACACATTGGCCGATACCTCCTCGATCTTGGGGTCCCGTCAATCCCCCACCCTCACAAATAGAGAAAGATGAAAATGTGCTATAAACACAATTGAGTAAAGTCGCGGAAGATACTGGATGTTTAAGACTACAGTGTGTATAAGAAAGTCTTATGATAGTGTTATAAGTATTATATTTATACACCTTGGCCGAGGCTCTTGGCTCCAATCTGCCAAGCCCATATGGCATATACAAATCGGATACTGGTGTTTTTACGTACCCTTCTGATGGAGGTCCCGTGTTGGATCCCGGGGTTGACCCAGTAAGTTCAGCGGGATTTTCCGGTGTGCCCCTCCATGTCAGTGGGTAAGGTGCTGGCTCGCTAGCCTGGAGGTCGCGTGTTCGATAACTGTATCGGCCTAGAAAGTTCGTCGGGATTTTTCGACGTGGTTTCCCCTTGTCAGTGGCGCAGTGCCGAGGGCATGACAAGGACAGTTTTCTAGTCGTTTGGATGATACGAAAAACCGAGGTGCCGTGTATACATTGGCGTGCATGCAAAAGAAACCTTGATGGCTAGAATTCGAAATAAGAGTGGGAAGTAGATCCACGGTCTTCATTAGCCCAGTCATAGCAGAAAAATAAGAGAGAGAGAGATGGGGTTTAACGTCCACTCGACACAAACTAGGTCATTTCGGGACTAACATATGTTTTTAAATTTTATTTCAATAATTCGCTTGCGCGTAGGGGTCTTTTAGCAGTGGGAGGAAACCGAAGGACCCGGATAAAACCCACGAGGTTGGACAGGCGACCCTACTCCTTGTGACGTACAACAGAGGATTCGAAACCACGCCAGTTGACTCAATGACAGGCTTTATGGTACAGCGCAGAAAAACAGAACGTTAAACCCTATTTCATTTATTTTACGCCGATTTCGTCCTTCGGGTTTATGCATATGTGTAGTACAGACGATTAAAACACTAGTCGAATTAAACATACATTATGCATGAACTAAATCTACCAACTGTGGGTCTTTATTTAGGCCTTAAATGTTATCTAAATTATTAATTAGACATTATTTAACTTATCCAGACCACAATCAACTCTCGGTGTCATCGCTAGCCTGCGATATTTACTGGATTATAATCTGATCTGCTGCTTAACGGTCATTCATGATTAAATCCAAATATGGATAATCGAGACTATGTTTTTGTATCGTACTGACTTTAGTAATGATGATCGAGGCTAGGCCCAAAATTCAATCGCCAACTTCTCGGTTCAGATTGGATCAATTTGACTGAAATTTTTTAGCAAATTCATTTACATTATCTAGTTTTTAACTATTCCAGTGAGAACTGCCAGTTCTTTATCTAACCTCCCATAATGTATCTTTAATTAAAATAAGAAAGACAAGAAAGATGGTTTATCAGAAGATTTTACTTTCTAACCATAACATGTACATAAATAAATAAATAAAATATTAAACAATATAAATAACATAATTATATACATCTTGTTCCTTTATCAATTTAAACATACATTATTCAAGAGCTAAATTTGCCTATCGTAGGTCTTTCTTTAGGCCTTATATGTTATATAAATCATTAATTAGACATTTAATAACATGACAAGACCATAATCAACTCGCGATATCATTCAAGAGCTAAATCTGCCTATCGGAGGTCTTTGTTCGAGCCTTAAATGTTATATAAATTATTAATTAGACATTTATTAACATGACAAGACCATAATCAACTCTCGATTTCATCGGATACTCGAGATTTTAACTAGATTAGAACAGTTCGGCCTTTTAATTGTTTAATTTAAAAATGGTGAAGCGATTTTAAACCCCGAATATACTAATACCATGGTTACGATAATACACAAGCAGTGATAACTTAACTCAGGATAAAGTAATATGAATGAAAATTTCAATATATTCATTTTGCATTATCTATTTGTAAACTTTCATAGCAAGAATGACCAGCTCTTTATCTAAATCTTACATAATGTATCTTTACGAATCTTATACATTCTCCAAGGACCGTTAATAACAACTCTATTCAATCTCCAGGATAACATGGTTCGTTAACCTTATACAGTCTCCAGGTTCACATAAGCCGTTAATAACAGTCGTTTATATTCTTTAGCACGGACAGTTAATAACAGTCTTATACAGTCTCCAGGTTAACATGGTCCATTAACCTTATACAGTCTCCAGGTTAACATGGACCGTTAATAACAGTCTTATACAGTCTTCAGGTTAACATAGACCGTTAATAACAGTCTTATACAGTCTTCAGGATAACATGGTCGGTTAACCTTATACAGTATACGGACCGTTAATAACAATCTTATACAGTCTTCAGGTTAACACGGGCCGTTAATAACAGTCGTATACAGTCTTCGGGTTTATACGGACCGTTAATAACAGTTTTATACAGTCTTCAGGTTAATACGGACCGTTAATAACAATCTTATACAGTCTTCAGGATAACATGGTCGGTTAACCTTATACAGTATACGGACCGTTAATAACAATCTTCTAAAGTCTCCAAGTTAAAATAAGCCGTTAATAAGAGTCCTATATATATTCTTAATTAATACGGACCGTTAATAGCGGTTTTATAAGTCTCCAGGTTAACATGGACGTTAACAACAGTATCATAACAATCTAAGTCTTCCGGTTAACATGGATCGTTAACTACAGTTTTCTACAGTCTTCAGGTTAGCCCGGACCGTAAATAACAATGTTAAATATTCTTCGGTACTTAAAACAAGGACCATCTCTGTACTGAGTCCAGATATATAATCAGGGTCCATTAATGAGGTCGGGGAGTAAGACGTTCATATACCGTTATATAATTAACATCACGATATAAACAGATGCTAGACTATGGGGGTCTTATCAGGGATGTAACACTGGTAACCTGATACCGTTGAACAATGAAACTAGGCCTTTTAGTAATGATCATTTTTGTCATTAAATCATATAAACTAATGTATGTATAGAAAGTGGCCAGATATTATACAGTTGTCATTAATTAGCAGTTGAGTAACTAGCTGTAAAAGATGTCACTACTGGTGTAAAATCGTGACTATTTATAACACCCATCACTATTGAATACACAAACCCGAAAAATAGTCACAGTTTTAACACCTTAGTGACACAACACCTACTTAATGACTGCTGCCAGATTACTAACAGTTTTAACTAAATAATAAACATTATGTATATAAACTGACCACTTTGATCTATTATATCGTATATTTTCATTTATAACAGTTATTTGTTGCTTAGTCAACGATTTCAGCGTTACAGTGTAAGGCGTTTATACAATTAAAATCCTGACATAAACACCGATGCCAATCTGATTATAACACAGATCCTATTTCGTTTCATTTTTTAAAGTTTAAAATTTTGTTTTACTTGTCTTTACTACACGAGAATCTGGAAGAGTTGTTATATAACCTGTGTTTTAGTTGATCTGAGGGATTAGCCAATGAAACGGCCTGGCGTTACGGCCAGTTTTTGCGTGAGGTGCACGGAACTGTGGGTATCCTATTAGTTAATCAAATGTCTGACGTCATAGGGTCAAAAGCCTCTCGTATAAACCCTGACGCGAGCCCACTACAATTTGCCAGATCTTCATGTAGTAGAGGCCAAGGAAAGTATAAAAAAAACGAAACGAAATAAAGATCTGTATAAAAAAAACGAAACTAAATAAAGATCTGTATAAAAAACCGAAACGAAATAAAGATCTGTATAAAAAACCGAAACGAAATAAAGATCTGTATAAAAAACCGAAACGAAATACAGATCTGTATTTTAATCAGATTGAAGCGATGCTAGATAATGTGAGTCTTATATCACCATTATATACAATGGCCGTGCATCGTACTTTGTAATTATTTTAATGGTAGCAAATAAAAGAGTTTTAACGGTCTACTTGTCTGTATCACGAGCTAATGCCCTGTGCTATGAGGGCGTTCCTGTTTAATTTTCGTCGAGGTCCAGCTACCAATGGATCTTTAACGTGCAGCCCCAACATGTACATTGACATTGAACGTCGGGTTTTCGTCCCATCCGCCCTGCACCACTGACAAGGTAGGTGAAAACCGCCATGCAAACCCTGGAATAGAACGGAGGATAACCTTGATAGCGAGCCAGCGCATTACTCACTGAGAAACCATGGCTACCGTGTCCGAAAAGGAGGCAAGAAATTGATTAAGACTTGGTATTACGAAATTATTAAAACAAAATACAGTATTCAGTAATAATGTAAATCAAATATTTCAGAGTAGCAAGTTACATACATAATGCATGATTAGTCATAAATATTGTAGACATTAATCTGACAGTTATTGAAGATAATCTCCTGGACCAATTATGTATCATTGAGTTCGCCGAAAGAATAAATAGGCTAGCTCTAAAATTATGAAAAGTTAGTCTAATAATTCGCCATGGTTACTTGTTCAGTTCGCAATAAGCACTATATATATACACACCACTGTCTCGGTCGGGCCAGAAAAAAATGGCTCCCAGACGCTGGCCATCTTGTTGATCTTGCGGGCGGCGCTTATCAAAAAACGCTTATGGTTCCGTCTATTCAAGTCTTGATCGACATTTACTTGGCATGTTTCTGCCTGGATAACTGCGTAACGATTGACGTGACATCAAAATTCCAAGATGGCGGCGATGACGTAATGACTTATTTCTGGTCCATATCGTACTGGTTTTGCAGGATCCTGAAAATTTGTCTTGGATATTTGAGTCCTTATGTCTTAATGTCCAGTTGTTTTACCGAACGTGATATTGATTGTCACCGGTCGTAAGAGACATATATTATTATTCCTCACACGTACACGCAGTTAATTTAAGTAGGTGTAATTGATATCGTAGATGGTCTTCGCTGTTCTAAGCTGGCAGCTGATATCATGGAGATGGCGGTCTGGGAACCAGATAAAGAAAATCTGTCTGTTGAACGGAGAGATTTAAAAAAAATCGAAATCGATTTGCAGCTTAGGATCTCCCGAAGAGCGAGTCTAAACCGGGACCCCGTGACACAGTAAAGACAAAAATTAACACATTTATTGGAATACAACAAATAGAACACAACAGAGAAACTCAGCTGGTTGGCGGCGTTTTTCACTGGATCCGTATAAACGTCTGGAATGTTTGCGATCACGGATAAGTGCATAGAGAACGGATACGTTAACAGAATTAAGGCAAATGACTCGGCTAACAACATCGTAGTCATTTGCCGCCATCTTCCCTGTGCGGACTGGTTACTAGAATTGAATTCATTTCCGGTTAAGGATAAATTTCCGGTGCTGAGTTTCCGGTTTTTGAAGTCAGACATATTGGCGGATCGTCGGACATTACGGATAATGATGATATTACTACTGATAATGATGATGAAACATACGGTTAGAAATGAAAGATGGATGCCTGGCCACACCTTATGATAAAAATACTCGTAAGCGTCGGTTGGCGCTACGACGGAACACAATCTTTCCGTTCTCTCGGGTGGAACAAGGTCGGACGAGAACAAAAAATGGAATTCTTTGATAACAACGATCACAATCAACAAGGTGACAATTATTTTGGCGCGTTTCACCAAATTCATAGTTGACGCCTTCAGGGGTTTCATAATGGCGTACGCTCTATCTGCCGTCATGGCCGCTGTTAGCAAGATGGTATAATCACAATTCCCCCATCCATAAAAGTTAAAAAATTTACACATATAATGAGAATAATCATTTCGAATAATGGCATCGGGGAAGTTAACTCCGACCCAATGGGCTGTAAGAGAAATAATAAGACTAACGGCATCGTTGACGGCACACGCAATCATATACACAGAGGTGGAAAGGCACCGGAAGTGCGGACTTCTCATAACTAGAATGGCAAGAATATTACAGATGTTTCCCACAATAACAATTATGGGCGGGACATAAAGATTGACAATATCGGCGATTTTAAATTCATTTAAATCTTTGGCCGTCAGATTGGCGACTACGTTAATAGATCTCATCTCAAAGCTTGGTGTAGTTATTTCCATCGTCCTCGTATTATTATCCATCATATTGACGTCTTCCTTGAATCTCTGAGTCCTGAAAATTACAGAAAATGGCGTCAGACATGCGAACAAAAATCATATTGGATGTATTTGATACATTAAAACAACAAAAGTTTTATGAAGGGCTATATTTTAGTTAAAATAAGGCAAACAATTTTGAGCAAAATTTTAACTCAAGTCTGAGAATGCTCTGTGAACTCGGGGCCAGAACTCATGCACTCAAATGATGAGTGACCGGTTTACACATAAAAAGAGTTATAAAACTAAAACATGGCTAGTCCTATGGAGGCAGACCACCATTAAATTTCATCATCTCGGTACCCACGAATTGTAGTTCGTCTATATATAGCAATTCTCTCTCTCTCTCTTTTCTCCCCTTTTGCATGCCCATTTTTGTTGATTTTTTGGTCTAGAATGGACGAAGATCGTTTGAATTAACATTTTCTGCCAGGTTTTGGTAAATATTCATGATTTTGAGGCGGAAGGATAAGAGGGTTATCAGGTTAGCTACGGCGATATGTACGGCAACTAGTTACATGTTTTTAGTATGCTTCTTCAAGTTTGTGTATCTCAAAATTTTGGTGGTCAACCTCATACAAATTTTAGTGCAAAGACATGACCATTTGTTCCTCTGTCTGTAGTGAAAAGCATTCAGCCCAACGAAAATTTGGGGAAAAGTTGGAGGTGGGCAAAGAGGCCAGAATTAACATTGAAGTCAATGGGGAAATTAATGGTGGTCTGCCTCCCTATGTGAAACCAAAAAACACCAGATAACAAGTCTGACACTCCTGGTGGAAAGTCTCCACTGTCCATATAAAGGTGGTTTTCGACGTCATTAGGCTTAATGACCAATCATTATAATTAATTATGTCATATTTGACCAATTAGATAATTGAAAGTCTAAACCCAAAGCTACAAAACTATCATATCTCTGGGCATTCGTCAGACAGCCGCTAGATTCCAGACGGAGAAGATGTAGCAATTTCTATCAGCAGACTCCCGGCCAGTCTGGATGGAATGGAATTGAGAGAATGACTCTATTGTAATCTATGCGTGTATCATATGTAATCAGTGCTTGATATATAAAATTTAAAAACGAACTGTTGTATTGTTATTCCTGGTAAAACAAACGTCTTAAAGACTCAATACCACTCTTGTTGTAACTGAATAATATGTCCCAATCTTTATTCTGGTCAACAAATTGTACTATTTTACAATATTCCAATTAATTGATGATACAAATTATATCTTAACACACTTAATTTAAAAAATTGGAAAAATTCAACTAAATGATTTGAAAAGCCTGATGTAAAGCTTTTCAAATGTGACTTGGATTTAAAAATATTTTTGACCCCTCTGGACAAGTAAAATAGGATTTAATGGATAATTTACACAACAGGTAGAACACTAACACATCTAGTACTTAGAATATGGCTATTTTTTTTATTTTCTGGGGCTGTCAAGCCAGCAAGAGTGTTATTGTCCATTTAACTAATGAGAAGATAACCGTCTTAACAGCGGAGATAAAAAAATACACAACGTGAGTCCCAAGAAGAGAATAAGAAACACATACAACCAGGGACAGTATAATAGACGATCCTAAAGCTATTAAAATATGTAGCAGAGAAGAGAGTATGTTTCACACGTTGGATGTGGGGAGTTTTTGTTTAATTTTACTTTCCACATCTAGCCAGCGATTCATAGCACTAGGCATAGTGCTACAATAGCACAATGCATGGTGTATGCCCGTCTTCATTGCCTTGTAGTTGTAGAAAAGTAGGACGTTAAACCCCATTTCATGTGATTTCATCAATTTAAAATCTAGATGAATAATTCATGTATACGCTGATATTTTCTCATTAAATTCCACTTTAACATAATTATTGCTTGATAAATATTTCAGGCAAAATATAAGATAGATACAAAAACAAAACAACAGAATTTCATTAAAAATAAAAGTTCAATAATAAAAGAGACGACAACGTAACTGAATAAAGAACTTACAGTTGGTGATAGATCATGGCAGTGTATTTCTATTATACTGACAGGATGACAGTGAAAATATATTGGCTGCCAACATTTTATAGTAGAGAAATCCTACATCCATCAGCATGGAAACACAAGAAACTACAAGATGTTGTCAACTCATGCCGTTATAACACATAGTGTCCTATACTAAACTTACGCTGTATGTCTGCAGTAACTCCGCTTGAAAAACAGACACTAAGTTACTTGACCGACATTTTAAGACCTAAACATTTAGTATATTTCAAGAATTTTGAGAATTGTGTTTCCTGCTTTCGTTTAATAAAATTGAAAATGTTTAATTAGTCTTTTTGTGTGTAACAGGTGTGATTCTAAGTAGGACAGGTGTGATTCGGAGTAGGACAGGTGTGATTCGGAGTAGGCCCGCAATACAAAATGTTTTAATTAGTTATTTTGTGTGTAACAGGTGTGAATCGGAGTAGGCCCGCAATACAAAATGTTTAATTAGTCTTTTTGTGTGTAACAGGTGTGATTCGGAGTAGGCCCGCAATACAAAATGTTTTGATTAGTTATTTTTTGTGTAACAGGTGTGAATCGGAGTAGGCCCGCAATACAAAATGTTTTAATTAGTTATTTTTTGTGTAACAGGTGTGAATCGGAGTAGGCCCGCAATACAAAATGTTTTAATTAGTTATTTTTTGTGTAACAGGTGTGAATCGGAGTAGGCCCGCAATACAAAATGTTTTAATTAGTTATTTTTTGTGTAACAGGTGTGAATCGGAGTAGGCCCGCAATACAAAATGTTTTAATTAGTTATTTTTTGTGTAACAGGTGTGAATCGGAGTAGGCCCGCAATACAAAATGTTTTAATTAGTTATTTTTTGTGTAACAGGTGTGAATCGGAGTAGGCCCGCAATACAAAATGTTTTAATTAGTTATTTTTTGTGTAACATGTGTGAATCGGAGTAGGCCCGCAATACAGAACAGTATACTAATTATTGGATATGGCGGTCATTTAAGACAGAGATCTATTCAGGAAGTAGCGTAAATAGCTCTCTGTGTGCATAATTATATTCCCCAAGCAATAATTAATACATTTAGAGAATAGCTTGTCGCTGAAGGCAAGGTTCTCGCGAAGAACACAAATATTATTATTGTTCTTGCAGGCATCATTAAATTAACTGTAACAAGAACTGACATATACATGTACACCATGTTTGTTTTAAATTATAAACTTCCCCAGACAAATGAAATGGGGTTAACGTCCTACTGTTCTGCTCCGACTAGATAATGAGGACGGACATACGCTATACAGTGTGCTATGAGGGAAATGTTGCCCGGCAGCGGTGATACGGCCTACTCTTATATCCAATTCGAACTATCAAGGGGTCTTTTACGTCCACACCAATATATACACGATACCTCGGTTATTCGTCCCATCCGAACGAATATACGTTCTCCTTGAAAGCCCATGTGTCCAGCATCTCTGACAAGGAGGATACACGCCGGAAAATTCCGGATGAAATTTCCAAGGCAACACAGGGATCGAACCCCGGACCTCCAGGTTAACGAGTCGACATCTTACTCACTGAGTCACCGTGGCTCCTGTCTTCTTCAGACAAGTAATTCAGTGATAGCCATTTGCATTTTAAGAAAAATATGTCATTCTGCACGACTTAATTTTACCTTAAAATGTACCTATTAGATTAATTGACATTTAATTAAGAAAACTAATCCAGAGTGGGAGGGGGGGGGGCTACCCGCAAGCGAATTATTAAAATAAATTAAACTATATGTTAGTCCCGAAATTACCTAGTTTGTGTCGAGTGGACGTTAACCTCCTCTCTCTCTCTCTCTCTTCTTCATTAGCTTTGACTTCTATCAAATAGAGCGTTTTATATAGCAAATATGTTATTCCCGAAATTCCCTAGTTTGGGTCGAGTGGACGTTAACCCCCCCCCCCCCCCCCCCCCCCCCGCTCTCTCTCTCTCTCTCTCATTAGCTTTGACTTCTATCAAAAAGAGCGTTTTATATAGCAAATAAATGAAATTGTAAGATGATTCAAGAGTTGTCGGTTCATCAGATCTACAGGGTGAGGATATATATGACATGCTAGAATTACAACCAAATAGAATCGTTAACCACATACTTTAATGGAATGACGAGGGCTTCGACTGAACGATTAATTTGTCGTTGTTAGTTTCTGTGATTGATCTTTCCTGAAGACATATCCTTCAGCAATTCATTACAGGCTGCGACATTTATTGGAGGGTGTTTCATCCGATCAGTCTCTATCTTAAAAGCTTTAATCATTTGCTACTGTTATCTTGGGGTTGAAATGATCTTTTTAAATCGTATTTAATCTTTTTTATACCTTACACGTGGCGCATTGTAGGGGTCAATTTATATGTTGGTCACAGAGATTACAACGAAATGAAATGAGATTTAATGCCCTACTGATCTGCTTCGACTGGGCTGATAAAGACGGGAATACGCCTTACCGTGGGTTATAAAGGGAAATTTTGTACGGATAGTGGCGTCACGGCCCAAACTGCCAGGGGATCTTTTACGCACACGGTAATATGAACACGTGGACCAGGTTTTACGTCGAATCTTAACGGCTTTACCATGTCCCTTGTCAGACCCTCTGTCCTGCACCACTGACAAAGGGGACAACGAAAAACAAATTTAAAGACACATTATGGAAGTTTAAATAAAGAGCTGGCTGTGCCCACTATAATAGTTAATAACTAGATAATGTAAAGGGAGTATGCTGAAAATTTCAGTCAAATTGCTCAACTGGAAACCCAGATATTAGAGTTTGAAATTTAGGCCTAGCCTCGATTATCATTACTGAAGTCGGTACGATAACCCCCCCCCCCCCCAAAAAAAAAAAAAAAACACGTCTGGAACACGAGAGAGAGAAATGGGGTTTAACGTCTACTCGACACAAACTAGGTCATTTCAGGATTAAC